GGAAGGGAGCGAGGCAGGGGAGAGCTCGCCGGGCCCGGCGGGGCCGGAGGGACGAGCGTTCCCCGAGCGTTTCTGCGCGGCTAACGACACTGTGCTCGATCCCTGTGCAAGGGCACGGCCCCAGGTGAGGGACCTGGTCAGGATGCCTAAAAAAAATCCCATCAATGTTTCAAAGGCCGGCAGAGCTAGACTATCTAATGCCTAAATAGCAGCAGGTTTTATCTTCAGAGGCCTTTGCAAAGTGTAGTGGGTGTTTGCTACATGTGGATGGAAAATTAGGATAACATCTTTCCGGCGGATGGGAAGAGAAGGCAGAGACGTATGTGGTTTGCCAAGGATCGAGGACCAGCAGGTCCCATGGTATCGCTGAAAGGCAAGACGGCTTTAGGGGGAGCAGTAGGAAAGGCATCGTCTGTCATGAGGCTTGGGTGCCTGGCCTGTGTTTTATCTGGTAACACATGCTCTCAGAGACCCTTTAATAAGAAACCGCTCCATTTTTAGTCTAAGGAAAATGTTTTCAATGTACATCACACAAATTTTCCGTATGCACAGCTTTAATAAAATCGATACAGCTGTTCAAAACAATAACATCAATCTATGCCCTGATAACTGAATGCTTCCGAAGGTGTTACATTGACACTTAATGTGTATTAACTCAAGCTGGATTAGCACGAATAGCCACCGGAAGCCTAGCTGGGAGCCTTACCCCTGTACTTTGTGCAGCACTGTATCACCTTTTCCCCTCATTCTCTCAGCCCTCATATTTAAAATCAGAAATGAAAACAGTCTTGCACCTTCAGCCTCAGCGAGGCTGTATTGCCTGGGTAGCAAACCTTTCTCTCTCTGAAAAGAGTCATATGAGACATTGAACTTAACAGCTTTCTCCCCCCCTCAAAATTACCATCAAAAAGTTCTGAAATGTCTACTATAGCAGTGTAATGTAGCAGTATTATGGAACATATATTTAGTTATAACAATAAATACACCCCATGAATCCCCACCCCACCCAAGTGACAGGCTGCTGACTAAGGAGAGCCCTGGGCAGCGATGACTGGCGACTGTGCGAGTTGGCAGTGGCATGGCCCTGGGATCTGGGCAGGGTGCAGACCACGGCACAGCGCTGGGCAGTAAAGGAACAGCAAAACAGATTTCCAGCATTGACTGGGTGGCCCTGCTAAAAGAGGGGTAGATTTGTCATTTCAGGCTCCCTCACATAGATCTCAGCGTTACCTTGGGAAGGTGCTCTGAGCCAAAGGTGAGCGGGCACGGTTGGTGCCGTGTTTAAC